TAATAATTTAATAATTATTTTTTATATTCTCCTTCTCTCTCTCGCAAGGGAGACCGGACGGCGACGACGGACGAAGTGGCAGTGGAAGGGAAAGCCAAGACTGCGCGAGTCGCGTTGCGAATAGCTTCACGTCTTGGCGTGCAGGTGTGCATCTTCCGCCGGAAGGACAAACCAAACCAAACCGGTCGGGATCGTGACAAGTCCTGTGCTCCGAAGAATGTCCTCCCATTCCCTGCCTGCGCACTCGCATAGGAGAGTTTTGCAAACTGATCTTTGCGCCGCACCCCAAGGCTAAGCAAACCTTGCTTGCTGCGAAGCCGCCCAACGGGGCAGGACTCAAAAAAGCTCCGACGGTTCTCTCTGCCTTGCCCACTCCTGCTGTATCCTTTGCTCGTTTGTGTGTGTGTGTGTGTGTGTGTGTGTGTGGATGTAAATAGTATGTGTGGCCCGGCACGTCTTAGACACGGTTTCAGTGATGTGACGTGCGCTCGCTGTCATGAGCACAGCAGGATATGCCGTTATCCCCGACTGTTTCTGCCTCTCCCGTCCATTCATCCCTGTCTCGTTGTGTTGCGCCTCGACCTGTCAACCATGCTGTTTCGACAGGCAATCCAGGACAGGAACCACCTAAAAGACTCTCGGCCTGCAGTAGGAAGAGTGTGGTTCGCTCAAAGACACACACCTCGCACTAAAGCACGGCATTTCGTCACCCAGGGTCCGATCTGGCGTCATCGGGCTTGCAACAGACGCGAAGACGACATCAATGGCGCTGAGCTGCCGCAGCGCCGCGGCTCTTCGCTGCCCTACCGTTTTCAAAACACCTCGTGCCTTGCTTGGTCTGAGGGGGTCCATCAGCGGGCTGTCACTGTTGATTGCGGGCGCCCGCAGAAAATAAGCATGCCTTGGCTTTCTGGGCCGTCGCAAGGGGTCTCGAGCACAGGATATAGCTTTGGGGGCGGGGTGGGAGTGTGCATCTCGTCGAGACAGGTGTTTACTCAGAAAGGAACCGTCTCTCGCTACGTATTCGCATACCAGGCTGGGCAGCAGAAGAAGAAAAAAAACAGAACCCCTATCGTCGTTCGGTGGCAGGGTCTCACGGAGGGGGGGGGGGGGGGGGGGAGAGACCCTGATGTTCTTGTTAGATCCTTGGTTTTCAGACATGTTGAGGATTGTAGGGCCTTCGTCCAAAACCACAACGCAGCCGACTTAGCGTACGTCGTCCCCTAGCGCAGTGCAAATCCTTCGGAAACAGGACAAGCTTGACTCAAGAGCCCTATGTACTCTAGTAGTAGATCAGGCCAGACCCGAGTGACCGTAGAGGAGGGGGCGGGTTGTTGACGGGTCACCGGGTGAGGTGAGTCTGTACCAAACCAAAGCAGATGCAGACGCGGATACTGACCTCATTGTACATCAGCCCGAACCAACCGTTACGCTCTTCCGTTTCCTGTCTCCCTCCACTGCTGGCCAGGTTTCTTGTCCTTGTGCAGCACAAATGCATACTCACTCACACTCACACCCCTCCCCGATCTTGTTTTCCGCCAACTGAAAAAAAACAGGAGCTTGGGTTAAAACGGAGGAGGACCACAAAAACGCCAAGATCAGCCAGCGGGTGGGGAGATGGGGGGGGGATGGAGGCGTGTCGTGGGTTATTGCATACACCGCCATGCAGTAGATGAGATACACGAGCGCGCCCCCGGGTTTGCAATGTTTCGTAAATGCCTTCTAGGGGTACACCATCAGGTTCTAGACCAAGGTCCACGACGGGGGGGGGAGTGCGATGACAGTTGCAAGGAGGACATAATCATGAATGCATGCTTGACCTCGACCAGAGCCAAATCCTATCCGGTACAACTCTTCACTCCCCCCCCCCCCCCCCCCCCCCAATCGGTGCAGGGGACTCTGGATGGTCGACTGCGGTAGCGACAGGGACTCCAAGGATCGCGAGCTGCTGAGTTTCGTCCGTCGACACGTTGACACCCTCTCCCCGGCCCTCCGGACGATCCTACGGGATGAGAAACACTTTGAGAGACCTATTGCGTGCGCGCCGCCAGAGTCACCCTCGCGAGACTCACTCACCGTGTTGCTCATGTTTTGTAAGGCTCGCTCGCGCCCTCTCCTCACACAACTCTGCAGCAGGGCTTCCTCGCTTGACGATAGGCACAGCCGGTGGCATAACTCGGGTGTGAATAGGCAGAAGGCCGGGAGGCCGGGGCAGCTCATCCCCCCTCCTCCTCCTGTTTTCTGTTTCCAGATTCCAATCCTTGACTCCTGGCACGAGACCACCAGAGGAAGAAGACGAGCAGGCATGGGGAGAAGGGTCTAGACCTGTCCATCGATCACCAGGGGCTCAAAAACCAGGGCACAAGGTCTAGACCGGTCGACGCCAGCTGCGTTCGCAATAAGGTTGTTCTACAGCGTCCGTTCCTGGGGTTGCGGGAAGCCAAGTGAACTATCTACCCATGATCGACTCTGATCAACTTACATGTCCGAATCGCAGACACGCACGAACATGCCCACATATAGGTATACCTATGCACGCACGTCACATGCATGCATGCTGGTGGGCATCGTATTAGTGCACAGGCACATTTCGAGCAGATTCCATCGACTTTTGTTTTATTTTACTTTTTTCTTTTTCTTCTTCCCTCGGTAGCGAGGGTCTTGGTCGGGTCCCTGCCGCCTCGCCGAGAATGCGTGCGGTGCTTCTGGCATGTTTGTTCCTGACACGCAGGAGGGCCTGGACCTGGACCTTGAACGTGATAATGGGCCGGATCGTGAGACGGCCAACGACTTACTCGACCTACGCCGCGTGGGCATCTCTTTCTTCTCTATGTGCCCTCCCCTCCCCCTCTTCTCTGGTCCGGAGCCCACGGCCGCATCGGCAAGTCAACGGCACGCGCAAGCCGGCGCGATTTCGGTTCCATCGCCCATCACCCCCCCAGTCCACCCTTCACCGCCGCATCTCATCTTCAACCGCTCATCGAAAGGGATGCTTCTCTTGTAAGTGAGGGCATTGACGGGAGATGGGACGAAAGTGCGAGAAAAAGAAAAGGTCCCAGCGAGCAGGGGAGCGGGAGCGGGAGCGGGAGGGGGGTGGTGGTGGTGCGAAAAGTGATCACGCGTCTCTTATTCCTGTCAAAAAGAAAAATGAAGTGAAAACCACACCGTGGTCACAGACGCCTCTGGGCATCGGAAACGGCTGTGTCTGTCGCCCGTCTTGATGACACGGATGAGATTTAGGCAGAAGATAACCGCCATGTCTCGGACTCAACCTCCCGCCCTTTCTCGTGATCCTCCCCCCCTCCCCTTGCTGTTTCTCGCACATCAACAAACAGTCAATCACACAAGACTCACACGCCCCCCACCTCCTTAGGTATATCCTCTGCCCTTACCCCTTACCCAGCCAGAAAGCACCACGAACGGAATAAAGCCTATATCCCGATCAGACTCGTCCCTGGGCCTTCTCCCAGGAGAACCCAACACCACACGGGCTGCCGAGGGGTCTGGGCTCCCTCTCCCTGCCATCAAATAACACACCCCTCCGAGGCCCAGACCGGTCTCGTCTTGTTTTCTCCGTCTGAAGATCAGAAACGAGGCGCAGAGGGCAGTCACAGGGGTAACAGAAAGTCCTTCTAGTAGTAAGCCATGAAAACGACAGGCAACCGATGCCGAAGTCCCCCCTCCTCCAGGGCGAGATGGCCAGATCTTCGTCAATAAGCATCACGGTTGAGCCCGCTCCAAGTCCCCGATCGTGAAACCCCGAGCCCCCGTCGTGACACATCACATGCCGGACTCTGAGTCTCTTCATCCCGAGTTACCCATCCCGAGGGGGGGGGCGGAGAACCGGGAGGCCGCATCGCATCACAGGATGACAAAACAAAAAATAAATAACAACAGACGCCGGGAAACCCGAGGAAGAAGAGAGGGGCGGGCAGGCAAAACAACTGTCGCGGATGCCCCGGAGACCGGAGACCGGGTAATTCGATTTCCCCTTTTCCCTCTCTCAAAAGTTCTGACGATTTGTTTTCCATCCTTTCTTCCTGTCAGCCCACACATCCTTTCCTTTCGCGCGTTGTACCGACGGTGCCGACGGAGCCTCGGCGGCCTTCCACATTTTCCCGGGCTTCCGTGCGAAGATGGGGAGAGAGAGAGAGGCAGGACAAATCAGACGGACACGGAGGACGGGCGGGATACTTCGGCCTCGGCATCTTGGCGCAAAAAGTTCCCGCTTTCCGAAACACAAGACATACACAAACACACACACACACACATACACACTCGGTCAAGATAAGGGGGGCCACACGTGGAAATGCTGGTGATACTTTGGCAGAAGTAAACCAGACGAAGGGGGTATCCTGTACTGGGATGCCTTTCGATGAGAAACGAACACTAAGCACACACACACACACACACACACACACAGGCACGCACAACATCGCTTCGGAATCCTCTCCGCCCAGAGAGGGAAAAACAATTCCAAGAATGCCCGTCGTACGCATCCCGTCCAACCCGGAAAGATACAGTAGAATAGAAAAAAAGAAGAAGAAAAAAGCAAACTCACAACGCCAGTATATCTCTCCAATCGTCCGTGTCATCAAACAGTTTTCGCTCCCAGAGGGTAATTGATGCCTCTGTGAGAGACATATGCTTCCCGTTATCCAACGCCTCTTTCTATCCAGCCGTCTTGTCCTCTTCCATCCCCCCCCCTAGCAGCGGGTCCAGACCGCGGTGGAACACCGTCCCTTTCACCAAGCCAAGCATCATTAGTCAGGCGGCCCTCTCTTGTCCGCCTTTCCCTCGGTCCCTCACCGAGCTTACTGATACAGCCTCCGAGCTAAAAAAAAAAAAAGCTTGGCTTTTGTGGCCGGTTGCCCTAGATCTTATGCCGGAGCCAAGTCTAACTTGTCACGTTTCAACCACACTCTCACGACCGTGGATGCGGCTGTCGCTGCTGTTGCTTCAACCACCACTCTTGGATGACGGGTAAGGTCCTACCCGGCTCACTCCTCCATTTTGACGTCCGTCCCCTTACCAAGATTCTTGAGGAGGTAACTGCGCTTGAAGTATTCGTTGGGGTGGACAATGGTCTCGAGCTGCGCTGACGTGAAAACGCCCTCGTCCTTTGCCCTTTTAAGTTCCTGCTTGTGGAGGTGCTCAAACACGCTGGAGAAATGTCAGTCAGTCTGAGTACAAGCCCCCAGAAATGGCCGGCTGCGGGATAGGGCTGGCTGGCTGGTTGGCCGTCCTGGACACAACGGAGCCTGGGGACATACCGATTGCAGGCCATGTGGAACTTTTGGTTATCCTTGTCCTCCTTGACCCCGTGCAGCGTGGCTCGGTCGCTGACCCCCATGCTCTGGACCAGGGTCGTCAGGTTCTCGAGGTTGAAGTGGCGGTAAGGGCAGCCGTGGGCCTCGCCGGGGCCGGGCGGGTGCTCCGTCAGGATCTTCTGACAGCTGAAGGGGCTGTAGCCGCCGCCGCGCCGGTTCGAGTCGCCTCCGACGTCGCCGTAGGTGTGGCGCACGTTGTAGCGATATTCCTTGTTGAAGGTGTCGTCGGTGATGTTGCGGAACGCTTGCCTCCAGAAGACGAGGCACTCCTCGAGGTTCAAGCCGATGCCCTTGAGGAAGAGGGTGTACTGCAGGCGGCCAAAGTGCTTCAGGTGGGCGTCGCGACGCAGTGAGCGGTGGAGGTGCGACATGCAGGCGGGGAAGTGCTGGGCGAGGTTGTCGATGTTACGGGCCGTGATCTCGGCGCCCGGCGGCGCGGCCGTGTTGGAGCTGTAGGAGCTGTCGGGGGTGATGAAGTTCTTGGAGAGGTGGTCGAGGATCGGGGTGAGACGGTCGTCCTCGTCGAGCCGGGGAAGGGCACGCGCCGTGAGCTGGAGGCCGGTCTGTCAGTGGTTGTGCATTGCCTGCCTGCCTCTCGGCAACGACGACGGAAGGGGTCTGGTCCTACCTCTAGTTGCCTCTCGAGCCGCGAGACGAATTCGCCAATGACCATGCTGGTCTGTTCTCTCCCCGGGACAAAGGCCTTGCCCGCCTTCAAAAACACCCTGCGCTGCTCGACCAGTTCGGGGACGCGGTCCCAGTCGACCTTGAACCATGTGTCGTCCTCGGTCGAAGCTGTCTTTCCCCAGCCGCGCGACATGGCGGCCAGCTCGGGGGCATATTCGCGCTTCTCTTCATCCGTCACGGCTTCCCACCAGTCGAGGTCGAGGCTGCTGATAAAGGCGGATCGTTCGTTGTGGTCGTCGCTGTTGAGCCGCAGGCGGAAGAGCATGGTCTCGACGCGGGTGAAGCGGCGGCGGAGGTCCTCGGTCCGGGCAAAGGCCAGGCGCAGGATGAAGTGGCTGTAGTGGTCTTTTTGTCGCTGGGCAAAGAGCTTCGGTGAATGGGAGGTATTGGACTCCAGGGGGAGATACTTGTCGAGGAGGGGCTTCATGTGGTTTGCGACCTCTTGCGGGGACTTGTTGCGGAACGCGCAGGCTTCCAGCTCGGCGAGGACTGGCACAACGCGTCAGTAACGAGTGGGAGGGCAAGACGGCAGACACGGGGGGGGGGAGGGTGAGTGAGGCTTCGTCGACTTACTCCGAAGCCGGTCAATGGCCCACTGCTCAAACTGCTCAAGGGTGATGTCTGCGGTGGGCGCGTCGGCGTAGAAGTTGAGGCGGTGGGGGTATTCGGCCTCCTTGTAGAGCGGGGAGGCAAACTGCTTCTTGCGGTGGTCGACGACATTGCGCCGTTTGGGGTCGATGCGGTTGTAGTCGTGCCGTAACATGCTGCCGTTTCGTGTATGTGTGTGTGTGTGTATATCTTTCGCGATGTGCCTGTGTCGGCGGGTTGGGAGTGCGTGTGCGTGGTGGACGTTGATGCAAATTGTACGTCTCTACAGACGGGTGTTGGCGACGGGGAGACGCGTCCAGTCGCGTCGTGGGGGACTTTTCAATTAACCGGGGTTGACCAATGGAAGCGACCGGGGATCAGTAAAGTGGGGCACAGTGTACTACGTCAAGATGAACCGGTAAGAACACAGTGCTTACCTCATCCACTTTGGCGATGCCATCGTTCTGTCACTCTCATCTCACTAACTAGGTAGGTACGGAGTTGAAAGGTAGGTAGGTAGGTCCTTCTCGTGAACTCGCCATCACATACCTCTCTCTCCATCTTTCTTACCTACTTTTTCACTCTCGTATTCCGGGCCGTTCAATGTTCTTCTATTCCTACCAAGTGCCGGGTCTCTATCTGTCTTCAGTGTAAGTCCCGTGACCGAGTCCTACCGTATACCACACGACGGCTGTTCTTACATATGCGCAGGGGTTCCTAAAATCGGTATGAACCATGTCGAGATGTCCTAGACCCCCCAGGTCGACGTCGACGTCGTCGTCACCACCATCACCACCATCACCCACAAACCACGCATCCCGAATGGAAAAAACAACGTCTCCCGCTCCGCAAATTGTCGGCCGCCCTTCGTAGCTGCAGCATTCCTGCACGCCATCACGTTGCCCGTCGCGCATACCGTCGCATATCGACTACCCCAACCCTGTCCAACCGCATCGAGTCCGGCGTTCCCCCGCGTGACCTGCTGCCGATTCCTAAATTCAGGACCCACACCATACGTCCAAGCACACCGGTCGTTGCCTGTCAGCCTCACTGATGCCCGCATGGCAGCCTCCAGCTATCGATATTCCTTCACCAACTTCAATCTTCCCGGCTTTACAGTTCTCGGGTTCTCTTAAGTTCTCTCGTTAGTCTCAAATGTTTCGCTTCTCCCTCTCTATCACCCATTGATTTGGCGTGAGACCCATCCCGGCCGTCGAATCCCCCTGCTCCCCCCCCCCCGGCAATGCCCGTGAACCGCCGAGATGGCCGCCTTGTCATCCCTCGGCCTCAACCTACGCCTCGCCGACATTGACGAGAACCTCAAGTCCCACTCAGCCGCCCTATCGTGGCCCAACTCGAGTTTTTGCGCAAGTGCCGCGTCTGCCAGCCACGACTTCCTAGACGATGCACCCTGCTTCACCTACACTGAAGTGTTTGAGAGGTACGCTGACCGTTCCTTCAGTCATTCTTACCCGAATGTTCAATGTGAGAACTATATAATCATGAAAACCCACCGATATTGTCTTCTTGACAGCAAAAGGCTCGTGTTGGGGCGCGCGCCTCAGTAATTTGGTTGGCTAATACACTCCTCAACCACAGCGGCGATGTTTTCCAAGCCGTTTCGCCTGGCTCGGGCGTCTATCTGCCCCTTCACTCATCATCGCCTGGTCCTCTACCGGCATTCGCCGTTTCCAAATGTCGCTCCTCCAAGACGATCGGGATCGAGAATTGGAGCTTGACCCTGTTACAGACGCTCGCCATTGCCATGCCCTCTCCCTTTGACTTCCTCTCCATTCTCTCCAACTACACGAAGCTCAAGTCCCACCTACAGCACCTTGAGACCATTTCGCCATCGCACCCCGCCACGGTCGAGCTGCGGCTGCTCGTCGGCGATCTCCTCCTCGATAGGGCTCTGTATGCAGGTATCGGCACCGAGACGTACCGGTCCAACGGCCACCTGTCCCTTGCCCAGTTGCACGACATGCACCAACGGAGTCTCGATGCTGGCCTCGACGGCCTGGACGCCTGTTTCTCCCTCGGTCTTCTCCCCGACGTGATGGACGACGCCTATCTCGAAGCCCTGGCTTCCAAGTTTACAGAGCTTGCTCTCGTCGGAGACATGACTGCCCTGTACAACCTCTGCGAGCCCATCGTTCGCTCTGGCGAGGTTGAGTGGGAGATGAACACTGACCTGCTCCTCCAACTCCTCGACCGGGGTCGGCTAGATATCTACCGTTACGTCCTCGACCTTGCTTCCCGAACGAGGGACAGGTCTTCGGTCCAGCCTGCGTCGTTCCTCCGCGACATCACACATGATCCGCTCCACGTCGCCATCCGCCTCGGCCACGTCCAGCAAGTGGACAGTCTCCTCCAACAGGGGACGTCCTTCATTGGCGTTCACCACAGTGACTTGACGGAAGGCAGCGCAGACCACGTTGTCCTCACGCCTCTTTCTGCTGCCGTCTATTGGCGGCAACCCCGTATTGTCCGGGTGATTCTTTCCAAAAACATCTTTGCGGACGGGATGAAGGAAGCAGTTGCCATGGCGGTCTCGGACGGAGACAACGACATGATGCAAATCCTGTTTTCTTTCGGAGTCATGGGCGTGTCTGGAACTCCAGTGCCAGACAATCCATTCGAGTCCTTCTCGGAACTCAGCCTTCAAGTGGGAGCCGGAGAAGTGCCTTTGGCGCCCCCGGGCACGGAGATTGCCGTTCGCTTCGCGGGCCACCAGCATCCGCTCGATAGCGATAGGCCAGGCCCGTCGGCTGGCATCCAAGGTACGAATCGTCAGGAACGAGACCGAGCAGCCGAGATGCCCAAGGAGCCTGTTCGGCGCAAACCTTGGCGGCATCGGCGTCGGGTCTTGGGCCAAGCTCTAGTCTTGCACATGCGTGCGCTGTGTTCCCAGCTTCGCGACGTCTGCATCTGCTCGGAACACATCGAGATACGAGATGTCGCCAGCAGATTCGCCTTCGCAGACGGTGTTTGGGGTCGTGGCCTAAAGGTGTTCCGTGGTTTGATGCAAGACAGCCCGCCTTCGACCCTGCCGGAGGTTGTCGACTCCCTCGTTGTGGCCAACGCCATCTATCTAGCCCTCTTTACACATGACGAGACAATATCTCCGCAGTAAGTCTAGACAGGTCCCCCGGGCAGACGAGGACGCCACAAGGCGAACACGTTCTCGGCCCCGGCCACGTTCACGAGTCTGACACTAACACAGGTTCATCAACGACCTCGACCGCTGGCGCTCGGTCCTGCCAGCCTCGTCCCAGTACCTTTTTGACGATGTAGCACTCCGGATGTGGGCTTATGCTCCATCAACCGCGGCGGCTTCGGAGCCGGATCCCGTCAACGTCTCTCACTTTCAAGACTTGGTCCAGAGCCTGACAAGACTTGAGAAAAGCAAGGAAACCGCGCCATCGCGAATGTTCAGCCCCGGGAGTAGTCTTGCAGCCTGCCAGAGAGCGTTCGAGGACCAGGAAACTAGCCCGGGGATCAGCCAGGCTCAGGCGATCCCTGGCCGCTCACAGCCGTGTCAAAGCTCCTATGGGGGTCCGCCGGCCCAGCGGGACGACCTTGTATGGGCCGAGTTTCTGCACATGGAGCAATTCGAGGACATGGCTTCGGAACAGACGGGGCCATCGCTGGCAGAGGCCGGAGGCTGGGATGACGTGATGCCCACGACGATGCTGCTGCTCGTTTCGGTAGCGTTTTACGTCGTGCTGGCGCTGATTTTGCGTATGTGCAAGTCTGCTCATATCTTGATACAGTCCATAGCTGATCCTCGGCCAGATCTACACTCTACGCCGGGGAAACCCGTGCTTGATACCTTTGCATCGACGCCTGGGGTATACGACCGGTGCTGCGCCCTCCTCGCAGCCTACCTCGCGATGTACGGCGTCTCGGTCCGTCCTCCTGACGATGACGCCAACGTCGCGATGCCGTCGTTCACCCCGCAATCGCCGGCGTACGGGTTAGACGCATGCATCACCCCGTCGAGCAGCTTATCGTCCCTCAACACGCTGGGCGTGCGCCGCAACGAGTCGTTATCCAGCATCAGGTAAGCCGATGGATGGCCCGAAACCTTGCACGCACGTACAACGTGCCCGTTACCCCGCCGCCTCCGGGAGAGCATTGGCTGAACTCTCGCCTGCAGCAGCACAGAGAATGCCGGCGCAACGTCGGCGTCCTCGCGCGATCAGCACCACCGGCAGCAACAGCGCGGTGAGAGGCTGCCGTGCTTCACGCCGCGATGCGCCAAGACGTTCTCGAGCGTCAGCAACCGCAACAAGCACCTCCGCGAGGGGTGCGCATTCACGAGGGAGAGGCGGCAAGGGTACCAGTGCAGGAACGGGCCCTGTGCAAAGGTGCTGACGACCAAGTGGTACCGCGATACCCACGAGAGGGAGCGGTGCCGTTTCAGGCGGGGGGGATAGGGGGGGATGGGCGGATCGGTGGCGGAACAGCCGCGGGGGCCCGGGCAATGCACGTGCGCCGGGATGGCCTGGAGCCCCCGACATGCCACCCACCACTCGTGTGCCATATAGTAAATGTGTATAGATATCTACCTAAAGTGGCCGGATGTTCTTGGATAGGTATCATCGTGTCCGGGTACGCTATGTTGGATCCGTTAAGCCTGCTGGACCCAAGATGTCACATCTCTTGGTGCGCCTATCGGGGCCCCGGCCTTATGTTTATTAGTCATGAGCTCCAGCGCAACGACGATGACGGTACGAATGGGGGACAAGGTTAGGCAGGGAGGGGGAAAAAAGGATATCCGACAAACGAGGCGAAGGAAATAGAGGCAGCATCATAAGGAAAGTATCCGTATAAATAATAAAAAGGAGTAAAAGAGATGAAAACAGTGGGGGATTGCAACACAGCGCCGGATGTTGTGCATTTCCCCCCTTCCCCTGCCGGTGCCGAGCGCCCGCGTACCAGGTGGGCGGTACCGCGAAGCTTCAAGTGGCTGCATAGGTTAGCTTAGGTACCTTGAAGTAAGGTGTTTTTGGTAGGTGGGCAAGTATCAAGAGTACATACCAGCACGTACCCCACCTGCAGATGCAAGTGGCCGAAGTGCCATGATAGTCTCGCGATGGGGATATCTGCTTGTCACTAACTACCACGACAGTAACTGAATCATATCGACCTTTATCTAGTCAGACTATTCTACGGGGGGAGGGTTGGATTGGTTCATTTCAATGTTCAAGGCGTGATGTGATGGGCCTGGTTGGTTGTGGTCGCCACGGGGTGTTGGTGGCGCAGCCACGACACACGGGTGCAGCACCTCCTGGATGCCATTCTCGTTTCACCTTCAAAGAAACCCCCCGAGAGAGAATCGAAGAAAAATAGGAGAAGAAGAACCGATCTCCCATCTGTTATCCTATCTCGGCCGCGCTGGCAAAGGCGGTCGGGCGGTGCTCGGCGCATCGCTGCGCATGGCTCGGTGGCGCCAACAACAGGAATAGCTTAGCTTAGCACGGCGTCGCAGGATACGGTGGTTGGTGTGGCTTCGACCTTTCCGATCTTGTTTACTCGCAGGAGCCAAGGGGGGGAGAGGGAGATAGAGAGAGAGAGAGAGAGAGAGAGTAAGGGCGATATTGGCCTGGGGAACCCTTTTTCTTTCTCAAGATGAGAAAACCTCTCTCTTCCACCCATGGACGACGCACGGCACAGAGCCCAACACACAAACCGAGTTGGTTTTGCGACGCGAGGACAAAGCTAGGTAGGTGAACAAGGCACGCGGCAAAGCAAAGCAAAGCAAAGCAAAGCAAAGCAAAGCACGCATGACAGCCGACGAGCGCTTGGGATAAAGGTAGTTCAACACCATGCCGTCCCACCTTCCCTCACCCTGCCAGTAGGACCCCCCTCCCTACACCAGACGACGATGCACCTCCTCGCAGCCGTCCTCCTGCTGGGCGGCCTCCTCCCCCGCCTCCCGGCGGGCGCCCGCGCCGAGGACAGCTTCCGCCACCCGCCGGGCCCCGGCCCGACGGGGGACTACCGAGACAACCCGGTCTACGCCGTCGGCGACAGCGTCGACCTGCAGTGGGAGACGACCCTCGAGTCGGCGGACCTGGCGCTGTGTCAGGGGAAGCCGGGTGGGGATGACGACGCGCGGCCGGCATGCGCGACTATTGTTGGTGAGCTTTCTGGTTTTCTTTTTTTTTCCCCTCTTCTGCCATGGTTTCGGGAGGACTGACGAGTGTTCTATTTGGGGGGGGAAAGCAAACGCAAAGGCCAAGAGCCTCGTGTGGACCGTGGGCTACGGCGGGTTGCCCGCGCACCAATACCCGGGCCTTAGCCCGGTGTACTACCTCGAGCTGTCCAAGGCCGGGGAGACGACGGCAGGGCGAGGCATGAGGTCGCATTACTTCAACATCACGGGGACGAGGCCGGCGGCGACGGCGCGGACGACGGGCACGACAACGAAAGCGACAGCAAAAACGACGGGATCGGGTGGGACGATGTCAGCGGCGACAGCGAGCACGAAGAGGACGACGGTGACGACAGCAGGCACGAACTCGACGGCGACAGCGGCGTCCACGTCCCAGACGCCGACGGGGGCACCGGCCGCAGACGGCCCCGACGCAGAGTCGCAGCCGCAGTCGCAGTCGCAGTCACAGTCACAGGCGGCGGGCGACGGTCTGTCGGGCGGGGTGGTGGCGGGGATCGCGGTCGGGGCGTTCCTCGGCGGGCTCGCGCTGCTGGGCGGGACGGCGTGGGCGGTGCGCAGGCGGGGGCGGCGGGCGGGAGGGGGCGTGGCGCACACGCAGGGCGACATCGTGCATCCAGTTTCTAGGCGCAAAGGCGCGGACCCGAGTAATATATAGCCCGGCGAAAGCGACTCTCCC